CAGTACGTCCGACCGGTAATCGGAAGGTCTGGGGTTCAATTCCTCAGTCGGGCAGTGGTCTTTTTCCGTTCTGTCGTGATATAACATCTCGCTGGGTGATTACGGGGCGTAACATATACATAAAATAAAAAACAAAATACACACAAATGTGTCCACACAATCCAATGAAAGTATAGAATATCAACATGATAATTTATTTCTATTCTTCTATATTTTACACTGGTATACTTCAATTAATAATGGATCAAATTAATCATGTATTATTTAATTAAAATTACATACTTTGTCATATGCACGCTTGGCTTTGCAGCGTTTTTTTTGTTATCTTATGAATAAATAAATGCTTCTCTACTTTTGTTTGATGATTAAATAATAAAAATAAAATTGATACTTTCCATTTTTTTTGTAACGAATTTTTGTTTTGTGATTGTTAATTTGATACGTTAATAATTTTAATTCAATATTGTTTCCCTACTTGGTCGTTTCGATGAATTATTATTATTCGCTATAATTGATGTTGATCGTCGTTGACGATCTCCGAATATTCTCTTTCTATTTTCATCTACTGTATCGAGTTGGCGACACCCACTTAAACGCGCATTATATCGACTTGGCTTTTCATAATTTTTCTTATTCATAATATGTCGATACCAAAGATAAAGTAATTGATCGTACCCTTCTTTTAACGTGTCTAGACATGCTGAACGAAATTTACTACCGGCTAAACAATAGAAAATGAAATTTGTTACACTATTCATTTGTAATATTAAAACGGTTACATTAATGCGTAGAAAACGCCATTTTAACTTTTTAACATCATGATGTTGCGGTGGATTCACCTGGGCAATATAATCAATAATAGCCGGTGTGGTAAATATGTAGAAACTCACGGAAACTGTTACTAACATAATAGTTAATTGTCTTTGTTTTCGATTAAAATTTGCAGCATTTAAACTAATTGAATTATTTGGATTCGTTAATGTTTTCTTTCTCAGGCGTGTAGCCAACCATAATTCATAGATAACGAATAAATTGGCAAGTAGCAAGATATCTGGGACAAAATAGAAGATAGCTGGTTTTATATAACGAATAAGTTTTTTTAAATGTCCACGAATCACACATTTTTGTTGATTTAAATCAACTGTATAAAGAATTGGGGATGTTGCAGAAAACAAGACAAATGCCAGAAATACCAGTACATACACACTGAAACGAGCATGTTGAGCCGTACAAAAACGTTTTGCTAAAAATGGTGAATGAACAGCCATACAACGCTCTAAAATTAAGAACATATTAAGATAGATGGATCATAACATGATGAATGTAAGTGTTTGCTTAGCGTTAGTAAATAGATTTTTTTGTTGAATAACTATCAAAATGATACGCTACAATGGATGTGAAATTAAATGAGCTTGGAGAAAAGAGATATTTGCCCCACGGTGTGTTTAATTGACTTTAAAACGAGAGAAATGAGTTCGGTAATTAATTTATGAAAATTAACTGATGATTTTGTCAATAGCAAAGTACAGTTCGATAAGACAGTATGAAAGGACAGATTCAAGACCAGTTTAAAGATTAAGCAGAGAGAGCGGTATAACTTGTCGCCAGTAACCTGGTTTGGACGCACCTCTGATACAAATT